CTACATTGAATGCACAATCATCTCCACTTTAGTCTAGGCTTACAGTCTTTTCAAGTTAAATAGTTTACCATCAATACAGTAGCTAACCTTGCTGCTGTTCTCCTCTGAGGCTGAGATATGACAGTATGGATTGATTCTCTGTTGCTTGTGCTAATTTTGGCCTGACAATCAACATCAAGAAACCAGAGGTTCTCCACCAGCCAGCACTGCACAATCCATCAGTTATAGCAAATGGAGACATTTTAAGGTCATTTTCCTTGACAATATAATTTCCAGGGATTTCCACATAGATGATGAGGTTGACACAACATTTCCAGGGCCAGCTCAGCATTTGGGAGGGTCTGAAGGAAAATGTGGGAGAGAAGAGGTATTAGACTGACTACCAGAGTGAAGGTCTGCAGGGCCATTGTGCTGATGTCATTGTTGTATGCCTGTGAAACCTGGACAGTCTACCAGTGCCATCCCAGGAGACTGAATCGCTTCTATTTGAATTGTCTTAGGAAGATTCTGAAGATCACCTGATAAGATAAGGTACCGAACATAGGTCCTCTCTCTTGGGCTGAACTGCCAAGCATTCAAACTCTACTGCAGAGAGTGCAGCTCTGAAGGGCTGCCCACATTATTTGAATGCCAAATGTATGTTTACCTAAAAGGCTATTTTGCAGAGAACTCACACAAGTCAAGCACTCCCTCAGAAGTCAGAAGAAGCCACACAAGAACACTTTCAAGGTCTCTCTGAAGAACTTTAGTTATCAATTGTGAGACATGGGAGACATTGGCACAGGAATACCCAGTAAGACATGCCGACTATCAAAGAAGGTGCTGTGCTTTATGAGCAAAGCAGAATCACAGTAGTACAAAGGAAACATGAGATGCGCAAAATTAGAAATATCTCCATCCCAAATGTTCAAATGGACTGTTTGTGCCCAACCTGTGGCACAGCCTTCTGAGCTCATACTGGACTGATTGGCCAGTTGAACACATTGTACCCTGACCCCAATATTGTGGTGTAATTGGTCCTCTTCAAATACTGAGGACAAATAGCAACAATCTCCTGGAGGAAGGAAAGAGGATGTTATGTGTATACAAATAAGTATTATACAAGGAAAACTGTAGTGAAGGAAAGCACTAAAAACCACAGAAGACTTCCCAGAAGAGGTGCCTTGAAGGAAAACAAGAATTACAAGGACAGCAGACAACCAGTGAAATAAAGCAAGGTGAAAGATGGCATACTGCATTCCAAAACCAGGTAGCATTATTAGAATTAGAATTAGAATTAACAAACCTCCTCTGGTCTATAATGTGGACTGTGTTTTTTTGTTTTTTGTTTTTATTTGTTTTGTTTTGTTTTTTGCTGAGGCAATTGGGGCTAAGTGACTTGCCCAGGGTCACACAGCTAGTAAGTGTTAAGTGTCTGATGTCAGATTTGAACTCAGGTCCTCCTGACTCCAAGGCTAGAGCTCTATCCACTACACCATCTAGCTGCTATTTATTGGCACATTTTAAAAATGAAGGTGAAATCTGTCAGTGTGGCCTCGAACTATACATAATATTCTAACAATGTGATGAAAGAGAATAGTTCTTAACTAAGTAATAATTTAATGTAAAATGGATAATAATTTCACCCCAGAAATCTTCAAAATTTAAATTGTTAACTAATTTCTCTGCTGAAACTTAGAGTAATTAATCATTCTATTATTAGAATGAGTGACAATAAAGCATTAGTACATAAAATGCTGGCCTTAGAATTGTTGTTGTTGGGCCATTTTCAGTTGTGTCCAACTCTTTGTGACCCTATTTGGGGTTATCTTGGCGAAGATATTCTAGTGGTTTGCCATTTCCTTCTCCACCTCATTTTACAGATGAGGAAACTGGGGCAAACAGGGTTAAGTGACTTACCTAGAGTCACATAGCTCATAAATGTCTGAGGCTGGATTTGAACTCACAGAAGATTGGTCTTCCTGCCTTCAGGCCCAGCACTCTATCCACTGCCACCCCACTGCCCCTAGAATTACTGATTCCAATTACCTAGCTTTAGAATGAGCAAGATTCTAAATTCAGGTTTGGTTCAAGTTCAAGTTTGACCTCCAATAGATGGAGTCACTTAATCTATCCGAGTCCCAGTTGCTCTTGAAGACTGTTTTGGACAAGGTGTCAATTTGTATCACTGGAGGGAATTTCCAAACCAGGAAGTTCCCCGCAATGATCAAAAGACAGGTCTGCATGAAATCATATAGGACAAACTGGGATTGGATCAGTCGAAGGGCATCCTTATTCAGTTGTTTAGCCATAAATTTGTCATGATCCTTCCAATAATATCATAATTTTGGAAAGGAACAATTTATTGGCACTAAGCATTTATATCTAGCAAATTTTTAAATTTGTTTATTCACATATTGCTCAGTCTGAGGTACTTGTTCTCCAAGCATATCACATTCAAATCTTTATTAAAAGAACAAATGCTTGGGAGCTTTTAATTTCCATAACACAATTTGTATCTTTTATAATTTGAAGGCTGGTTTTTCTAATCAAACATGAAAGGCATGTTATAACAATAGAATTCTCTGTAGACATGAGATATTGTTCACTGTCATGAACAAGACTTTTCTGAGTTATATTTATGAACAAAAAATCAGTCTACAATGATGAAGCAAAGGAAAGGGAAAGCTGATTTGCATCCTCTTTCCTTATTTAAGACAGATTATGGAGACTGGGGACTTCTTGAAGTTAGTGTCGGGAAAGTTCTGCTTCCCTGATGCCCGAAATCTCCCTGTACCTGATGATGTGGGAGGGGCATGGAAGGTATTAGGAGAGAGGGCAGTCATAGAGGGATTTCATTGATTTTTACTGCTTACCCAAATTTGCTTGCTCTTCAGTGGTTTGCAGATTAATAGTTAACAGAGGCCCACTAAAAGTATCTTTAGTGCCTTGACAATTGTACATTAAAGCAGTTAGAAATCTATGAAACTTGTGATGATTTCTACCCGCCAGATGGGCTTTTTATAATTTGGGATGGGTCAACAGCACAAAATGGAGAGCCGGCTCAAGAAAGCTGACCTACCAATGCTTATCTTTTAAAAAGAGTTTTACTATGCCCCTATAAAACTATAAAACTGTTCATACACTTTGTTCCAGCAATACCACTGCTAGGTATTTATCCCAAAGAGATCATAAAAAAAGGTAAAAGACCCCACATGTACAAAAATATTTATAGCAGCTCTTTCTGTGGTGACAAAGAATTGGAAATTTAGAGGATGCCCATCAATTGACGAATGGCTGAACAAGTTGTGGTATATGAATGTAACGGAATTCTATTGTGCTGTAAGAAATGATGAGCAGGCAAATTTCAGAAAAAAACTGGGAAAGACTTGCATGAATTGATGCTGAATGAAGTGAGCAGAACCAGGAGAACATTGTACACAATAGCAACATTGTGGGATGACCAACTTTTCTCAGCACTACAATGATTTAAGACAATTCCAAAAGACTCATGATGGAAAATGCTATCCACATCCAAAGAAAGAACTATAGAGTCTGAATACAAATCATAGCATACTATTTTCTCTTTTATTTTTTGTCTTTTCTTTCTCATGGTTTTTCCCTTTTGTTCTGATTCTTCTTTCACAACATGACTAATATAGAAATATGTTTAGTATGACTGTCCAGCCTATATCAGATTGCTTGCCATCTTGGAGGTGGGAGGGAGGGAGAGAGAAAAAAATTTGGACGTCAAAATCTTATAAAAATGAATATTCAAAATTATCTTTACATGTAATTTGAAAAAAATGGAATGCTATTAAGTGGAAAAAACAAAATATAATAAAAAAAGTTTTATTGATGCCTTTTTTGACTAATCAAACATTTATGTTCTTACTGTGTGCCAGGCACTTTGCTAGGTTCTGGGCTTACAAATGCCCAAAGAAGAATCTTTGCCTTTAAGGAATTTACATTCTAATGAGGGAGAAAACAAGTACACATAAATTAGATAAAAGATATAAAATAACATAGATTTGAGGTGGCATTGGAGGGGAAGGCACTACAAACTTGGGGATGTAGCAAAGATCCCAAAGCAAGTGCTTGAGTTGTGTTAGGAAGGAAATGAGGAAATGAGAAGAGCATTTCAGTCATGGAGGACAACCAGTGGAAGGCACTACAATGGTAGATAGAGGGACTGTGTGTGAAGAACAGGACGCAGGTCAGGATGGCTGTATCGTAGCATGTGTGGCAGGGAAAAATGTGTAATAAAACATGAAAGTTAGAAAGGGGCCAGGTTGTGTATAACTTGTATTGTTGCCAAATATCTGATATCTGAAGTCTGTAATTCATTTTACTATTCATAACCCTAGAGGTAAGTAACTATTACATATCTTTTTACCTGTAAGCATACCCTGGGTCCTCCATCTACCTTTCTGGAGGTGATTTCCTTTAAGTCACGACACTCAAAAGATGACTTCTGTAGCAAATGGATTGTGAAATGTAGAAGTTTAGAAGCTGATTTTGTGTCTTGACATAGAGTAGCCTAGTTTGGCCTCCTTGTTGATGAAGGACATGAACCCCACCTAGGTCTCAATGAGAAGAGGATGCTCCAAAACCAGCACACCATTGGCTTGACCTGGTATAGGGATTCCTTTTGGGCCTTCCTGATGGCTTGAATTAATAGAGCCTTGAAGCTTTCCAACTGGCAAAGAGATACAATCTTCTTATCAGCATCTGCCACTGGATGCTCTATAAAAGTGGCATAAGGCAGATTTGTGGACCAGGGATTCCATCTGTTTATGAAGGAGTGGTGGCTTTGCTTATCCCACTGAATTCGAAGCCCAAAACCTTCTTGCTTATTCAGTGATTTAGGAGGAAACTCAAACTTTCCAGAAGAAATGGTATCAATTGTATTTAATGATATTTTAACCACCTGCTGGCACTGTAGATTAATGATGTCATATTGGCAGATCAGCAAGTATTGGTCTGTGATGAGAACCAGCTGCTTCTTTTCATTGTTCCAGTGGTCAACCTCTGTCAGCAGCAGCCTTGCAGCTCTCCATCCTCCATGGGCAGGACCACTAAACAGTTCTCTTCTACAGCCTGTTCTATGGTCCCAGGTCAGAACACGAAGTACTCCTTGACTTGGGGCGGGGTGCGTGGGGTTGTGCACACTAAGCGCCATAGCATTTGGTGCATCAGGGGCCTGCCCTGGGCCCTGCCCCCCGGCGCCGTCACACCCACGCTGCCATGGGTTGAAATTAGCATAGTATCAGTCCACAGAATCCCACAGCTGCAGCATGGCCGCCTTCACCATCCTTGCCACTGCTGGGAACACCAGCGTTATAAGAGGCTAGGTTGCAAAGAGCATTCAGTGTCAGAAACAGGAGTTTTTATTTGATCATGGAGGTAATAGGAAACCCTTGGAGTTTACTGAGTAGGAAAATGATGTGTTCTCATATGTTCCAGAAAATCACATTGGCAACTCTGTGCAACATCGATCATAGGGTCAGAGATTGCTGGAGCTGGAAATGACCCTTAGAGGCATCCAATCCAACTCCTTCATTTTACAAATAAAGAAGCTGAGGCATTGTGAGATTAAGTGACTTGCTCAAGATCACACACCTAGTGTTCATGGTAAGATCTAAGCCTAGGTCATATTTCCTGGTCACTTATGCTCCCTGAAAATTGCTTCTCCCCTCACTGATGACATGGTTACCTGTGGTAGCATATATCCCTCTATGTAAAGCACAATTTTTCTCATCACTTGTTTATATATGTTGTTCACTTAAATAGCCCTTTACCCCCTATATAACATGTCCTTTAGTTTACTGGTAGAAGAAACATAGTAGTGGGGAGTCATGAGCTAATGGATGGAGTAACTGATGACCCATACCCACAATAAACCTCAAACTTGGAATAGTGTTCAAGGGGCCCATGTACGAGGAAAGGACTGATGCTGGAGCAATAGGATAAAAACCATTTTACCAATGAGGGGACTGAGGCTCAGAGAGGTTGAGTGACTTACCCAAAGTCTCACAGAAAATAACTGTCAGAGCCAAATTTAAACTCAGTTTTCTCAACTTCAAGTCCATCACTCTTTCAACTATTCCATGTTACCATAACCCATATTAACCATTGTAAACAGTTCATTTCACAATAACTTCACAACTGGGTTACTACATGAAAACCCTACTACTCCCAGATTTACGCTTCTAAGTGGTTCAACATTTTCTTCCCACACAACATGATGATGTTTTCTTTTTGTCCTCATATTTAAAAAAAAAGAATTTCAGAATATATAGCATGTAATACTGGATGTATATTCAATATATAACAACTTGTAATCGTTTAAATAATGCTTTAAGCTTTGCAAAACAGTTGATATATGTTAAATTATTTCACGTAGCATCTTCCTGAATTTCTCCCCTCCTTCCCCTACCCAACAAATCACCCCTCTATAACAATAAATTAAGGGGGGAAAAAGGTGATTTACCAAAACTAACCAATGCCTCATCTGAATCTGACATTCTATCTGATATTCCACAACCATAGTCACTTGTCTTGTCAAAAAGGAAGGGAGGTACATTTTCTCGTGCCTTCTTCACAGCTGATCTTGGTCTTATAAATTCCACAAAGTTCCACTGCATTTAATCATTGTTGTTTGATTCCATTTACATTGTTGGAGTCTTTGAGTTTTGTTGGTTCTTGTGATATTTTTAAAGTTCATTTCAAGGCAGATCTGGACCAGAAAATAACTGCAGTATCCTAGCTCACAGAATTATTATGAGGCTCAGATGAGAGAACTTATTTATGAAACACTGTATACATGTCATTTATTGTTACTCAGAAGAACAAAAAATTTTAAAAGCATGGACAAGATGGATGACAAACTTTTTAAAAGACTTGTGCTTAGGTATACTCACATTACTTTCAAGTTGAATTTAAATGTCCACTAGGTTCTGAACAAAACTCAGAATTTGACAGTGCTTCTTATCAAATGAGTTTGCAGTTGAGTATAAATAACCAGGTTATAGAAAAAATATGATAGATCTGTGATCACTATAGTGAGTCATGTTGATTTGACTGGCAATGTAACATAGGTAAAGAATGATAGTCTCTTTTTTTGCTCTTCAGTAGTGTAAAGGCTGTTATGAAAAGGATTTTTTTAAAAAATTATTTATTTTATTTTTAATTTATGAAATAAAATAAGCATTTCCATAACATAGTAGGGGAAAAAAGATGATTGCACATGAAACTGCAAATATATTGTAATACAACTTGCTATTGCTTTTAAATATATAATAAAATTATCATGTAAATTTCTTATATGTATGTGTGTGTATGTATATATATGTGTGTGTGTGTAAAATGATTCTATATATACTACAAAATAGAAGAATTCATTTAAAAGTATTCTCTATGTTTGTGTACAGGTAGATTGTAGTATAAGTGTATATGTAATCATAAATTTGAAAGATTGAAAGGTAGAGGGAAGAGGATGTTAGAATGGAGGTAGAGAGTGTTAGAAGCAGGAGTGGGTTGGGGAGAGAATTGATTTAAAACACGTAATTTTGATACATGCAACTTTCATTCTTCTGTTTAAAACTTTTTTGACTCCTCTAAATTATAGACCATTTGTAAACCTCATCAAAAAAAATTAGTAGATGTAAATAAGGAATTGCTTTTTATTCTTATTTTTGTGTAAATTTGAACCTCTGAGTTGAGTGATACTTCTAGAATTTTGGAAGGATAAGCTATTATAATTGAAGTGAGGTGAGCAGAACTAGAGTCAACTATAAGCTAAGCAACAGTAATAACGTTTAGTTTTCTTATTTTTCTTTTAAAGGTAGTTAGTTCCTGATTGCCAGCAGAATGAATAGAGAAACAGACTTAGAAACTACAATGGAGGAGGACTCTCAGCCCAATGATGAAGTTGTTCCCTACAGTGATGATGAAACAGAGGATGAACTTGAAGATCGAGAGCCTGCAGTTGAACCAGAGCAAAATCGTGTCAATAGAGAAGCAGAGGAAAGTCGAGAGCCAGTCAGAAGAGGTAAAGGTACAAGGGTGTGAGGGTTGTCCAACAAAGGGTAAAAGATGTAAACTTTTTAACAGTGCCACCCACATTCCAGCTACGCTCTGGACTTACACAAAGTCCATCCAGTCCAGCCTATACTTGGAATGACCTTTTCCCCCCTCACTCTTCTTCTGCCCCCTCTAGAGGCTGCTTTTGATCATTAGATTGTAAACTCCTTGAGGGCAGGACTGGGTTGGAGTGTTTTTGCCTCTTTTTGTATGCCCAGCACTTAGAAGGCACTGAATAAATGTTTATTGATTGATTGATAGTGGTTAGAGGAATTAAAGGGCACAAATTGGTCCTCAGGAGGATACTAGTCTGTATTTATTAGTAATACAAGAATATTAGAGTCTGGGTAAGTAGTTTTAAGATGTCAAATCATTTTTATTCATAAGCCATATAATCTCAGTGAAAGTAACCTAATCCCACAAAATGAAGAATAGAGTCAGATGTAAAATGATGAATTTGAAACTGCTTACTTTTTGCCAAAGGAAAAATTATATAGACAAGCAAAATAATGACAGAGATGTCTGTTTTGCTTTGTTTACCCTTCATCTCTTTTCTGCCCATTGATTTATAAGGTCTTGTGGTTATTTTTTTCATGCTTATCTAAAGATTGCCTATCCAATGAAATCATAGGTCCTGTTTGTATACCTATCCCTATTTTCAGTGTAGCTTGAGTCAGTATTGTGGATATACAATAAACTCAGCAAAATTTGTTGAATGAATCTAAATGCTACAAAATTATAACTTGTGTGGTAGTTCTAATTAACTATGGAATATTCAATATCAATCTTGTACACCAGTTGTTCTTTCAACATTTAGCAAGGGTTTTAAATCTTTTTTATTTAAAAAAAAACTTTTATGTTAGCTAATACAGAGAAGTCTGAAGACCTGGGTACAAATCTTTCTAGGAATTTTTTTAAAATGTTGTCCTAAAATGTAGATGCTACATCTGACAAAGTCCAGCATGATCGATTTATACTCATAGGTGACAATTATCAGCTCTAATCACACTCCACCAGAACTGTTAAATAGTATAAATTTATAGTGTCCCTAAGACCTGTGACTTCTCTTTCCATCAAAATGGCCAATGTACTAAAAATGAATTCAATTGCTCCTATCTTCTGGCTCCAAACTCTTGCCTGGGTTATTGATTATCATGCATATTTTTCATATTATACATTATACAGCATGTTTATAATCTAAATGAAAGGGGTCATAATTTTGAAGGATGATAATCCAGCCTTTCACATAAAATGACCATCCTGTAGTTTCTTTGGGGCTTTTGGTAAAATTCCTTGTAGAGTGGATGCTTTCTCCAGTTTCTATACATGGACAACTAACTTGTGATTTCAGCACAATGTTTTAAGTCTCCAACATGTAGTTCACAGAGTTGAACTTACTCTGAGAATAATTAGTGGCCTGTGGTTAAGCTGCACTTTTCTGGAAGGAAGAGGTAATAGCAGCTTTCTGAATCCCAGGAAACTCTATCAATTGAGGCATTGTAGTGCAATAGAATAAATGATGGATTTGGTAACAGAACACTGGGGTTCAAATCCCAGTGCCGTTACTTAACTACCTGTGTTTCTGAGTGACTTAGGCAAGTCAAACTCTCTGGGCCTCAGTTTCCAATAAGGTCCCTTCATCGCTCAGTCTAAGAAAACATTACATCAATATTCTAAAGCTTAATCAGACAGTATCCAATCATAGGCATTTAATTTTCCCTTGTATTTAACTGTTAGAAATTAATCCACTAAGAATACGTTAAAAATTTTCTATACATAGTTTCTAGATATAGTTTGAGGACTGCCATTTCTAAGACAAAAGGGGGTATAATTTATTGTATGTTGCTAAGGCAGGCTGTGTTGTCCCTTGAAAAGCATGCTGGATCAATAAAACAAAGATTATACTTGGTGACTAAGTAGGGTTTACAACAGAAATGCAGGAATGGTTTAACATAAGGAAAATCATTAACATAATTGATTTTATCAATAACAAAAGTAACAAAAATCGTATGATTACAGCAATAGATGTAGAAATAGCTTTTGACAAAATACAACATTCGTTCCTATTTAAAAAATGCTCAAAAGCACGAGTATAGATGGATTTTTCTTTAAAATAATAAGAATCTATCTAAAACCCTCAGCAAGCATTAAGCCTTCCCAGTAAGATCAGGAGTGAAACAAGTATGCGTGTTCTCACCAATATTATTCAATATTGTATTGGGAATGCTAGGAATAGCAATAAGAGAAGAAAAAGAAATTGAAGGAATCAGAATGGGCAATGAGGTAACAAAACTATCTCTTTTTGCAGATGCTATGATGATATATTTAGAAAATCCTAGAAATTCAAGTAAAAAGTCATTTAACTCTAGACTATATAAGATACCTGGAAGTATACCTGCCAAGACAAACCCAGGAATTATTTGAACATGATTATAGAACACTTTTTATACAAATAAAAGTCAGATTTAAATAATTGGAAAATACTATTAATTGTTCATGGATGGGCCTAGCCAACACAATAAAAATGATAATTCTACCTAACCTAATATACTTATTCAATGCCATCTCAATTAAATTACCAAAAAATTATTGTATTGAGCTAGAAAAATAATAATAAAATTCATTTGGAAGAACAAAAGGTCAAGAATATCAAAGGAATTAATGAAAAAAAATATATAAAGGAAGGAGGCTTAGCAGTATCAAATCTTAAACTATATTATAAGGCAGTAATACTCAAAACTATCTGGTACTGTAAAAGAAGCTAGAAAAGGAAATAGTAAGCCACTTCATCATCTTTGCTAAGAAAACCCCAAACAGAGTCATGAAGAGTTGGACATGACGGAAAATGAATGAACAACAAAATTCGTCATTGGCAACTTTCCTATACCAATAAAATCACAGGTCCAATTCCTATCCTTATGAATTTTAGAATCAGTATATGTTTCTTTTTTTTGAATCAGTTATATATTTCCAGCATATATTAGATGTGCTATAGACATCCCAAAGTCATTGTGTCTAGTATAAAGAACTCATTATGTTTCCCACCAAACCCTCCCTTCTTCCCAACTTCCCCCTTACTGTTAAAGGAACCACTCTACTCTTGGTTATTCATGTTCATCAGTCAAACTTACCTTAAAACCCAGTTTGCTAAAAAACACAAAAAAACACCTCTTTATTTCTACCTTCATAATATCCCTTACATATGTCCCCTTCTCTTTACTCACACAGCCACAACCCTAGTTCAAGACCTCATCATCTCTCACCTGAACTATTGCCTTCTTTTAAAAAAATTATTTAGTATTTTATTTTTCCCCAATTACATGTAAAAACAATTTTCAACATTCATTTTTTAATTTTTATTAATTTATTTTGATTTATCAATAATCACTTCCATATGCTTTTGAGTTGAAAATTTTTCTTCCCCTTCCTCCTCACCACCCTCCCCAAGATGGTGCACAATCTGATATAGGCTATACATATACATTCCTATTAAACGTATTTTCACATTAGTGATATTGTAAGTAAAAATTAAAACCAATAGGAGAAACCATCAGAAAGAGGAAACAAAACTTAACAAAAGAGAAAAAAATAGCAATTCAACCTCCATAGTTCTTTCTTTGGATGTGGATAGCATTTTCCATCATGAGGCCTCTGGAGATGTCTTAGATCCTTGTATTGCTGGGAAGGGTAATTGTGTACAATGTTCTCTTATTTCTGCTCATTTCACTCAGCATCAGACCATATAAGTCTTTCCAGGTTTTCTGAAGTCAGCCTGTTCATCATTTCCATTACATTCATATACCACAACTTGCTCAGCCATTCCCCCAATTGATGGGCATCCTCTCAATTTCCAATTCTTTGCCACCACAAAAAGAACTGCTATGAATATTTTTGTACATGTGGGTCCTTTTCCCATTTGTATGATCTCTTTGGGATATAGCCCTAGAAGTGCTATTGTTGGGTCAAAGGGTATGCACATTTTTATAGCCCTTTGGGCATACTTCCAAATTGTTCTCCAAAATGGTTGAATCATTTTACAACTCCACCAACAATGCATTAGTGTTCCAATTTTCCCACATCTTCTCCAACATTTATAATTTTCTTGTTTTGTCATGTTGGGCAATCTGATAGGTGTGATGTGGTACCTCAGAGTTGCTTTGATTTTTTATTTCTCTAATAGATAGTAATTTAGAGCGTTTTTTCATATGGCTATAGATGTCTTTAATTTCTTCACCTGACAACTGTCTGTTCATATCCTTTGACCATTTATCAATTGGGGAATGGCTTGTGTTCTTAAAAATTTGACTTAATTCTCTATGTATTTTAGAAATGAGGCCCTTATCAGAGAGACTGGTTGTAAAAATTCTTTCCCAGTTTTCTACCTTCCTTCTAATCTTAGTTGCATTGGCTTTGTTTGTGCAAAAACTTTTCAATTTAAGGTAATCAAAATTATCCATTTTGCTTTTCATAATGTTCTCTATTTTCTTGTTTGGTCATGAATTCTTCTGTTGTCCATAGATCTGATAGGTAAACTATTCCTTGCTCTCCCAGTTTGCTTATATTATAGTATAAATCATGAACACATTTTGACTTTATTTTGGTATATGGTGTGAGATTTCAGTCTATGCCTAATTTCTGCTATACTCTTTTCCAGTTTTCCCAGCAGTTTTTTCCAAAGAGTGGGTTCTTATCCCAGAAGCTGGGGTCTTTGGGTTTATCAAATAATAGGTTACTATAGTCATTGACTACTGTGTCTTGCATATTTAACCTATTCCACTGATCCACCACTCTATTTCTTAGCCAGTACCAAGCAGTTTTGATGATTGCTGCTTTATAATATGATTTGAGATCTGGAATTGCTAGGCTACCTTCCCCAGCATTTCTTTTCATTTGTTCCCTTGATATTCTGGACCTTTTGTTCTTCCAAATGAATCTTGCTATTATTTTTTCTAACTCTATAAAATAATT